AGTAGAAAGGTAATAAAGTATCCGGAAAGTGAGGGGTGATCGGAAGGGATGGGAAATTAATGGAAGGCTCCCGTTCGGGAGCTAGGTGGGTTGCCTCCTTTCGGGGGCGACGTAAGAGGCCGGACACGCGCCACAAGGGCTTGGCGGTCTTCGGGCGCGGGTGGTAAGGCACGAGCAGGACTCCTCGAACACGTGCCCCTGATAATTAACCGATAATCCCAGTTGGCGATGGGGATGAAGTAACCAAAAAATGATGCCATAGACACATTTATTTACATGTTGTGCGTGGAATGGCAAGCTGCATTTAGTACTGTAAGTGGAAGGGAAACCCGGTTTCGGGAAAAAAAAACTCGTGGCAAGCGAAGACAACCTCGGGAGTAGAGGCGGGACGACACCACCACACACTATGAAGGGCCATCCGGGGCCCCGAAAAACACCGCCATTCATTGCACAGGAAGTCATCCAGATACAAAAATGATACAAGAGGTTATCTTCGTGTGTTGAGTGGGTAATCTATAGCGTCGACGTGAGAACACACCATGGTATTGTTTACCCTGTCGCATCGATTTATTTGATTTGTTTTTGTTCGTCTCCATGTACACGTATGTAGCAGCAACAGCAGACAAAAAAATATGTCGGATGGTGGGTGGTGCATACGGACAGGCGCAATGCATTAGGGAACCTCTGCATTATTCGGGAGGACCAAATTTTCCCAGAACAATAATGCAAGGGGAACCTCTGCATTACGCAACCTGACCCCCACCAACGTTGGGGGAACACTGCACTAGGGAACCTCAACCTGAAATTGGCAGGGGAGCCCCGCACAGATAGGTTTTCGTATTCATCAGCCACTCGCTGCATTAGGGAACCTCTGCATTAATTATTGTAGGGAACCTAAAATTGGCGGGGAAATTCACCCAAATGGGGATGGATACAATTTCGTATATAACAGCATTACTAGGGAAACTACCCCAGAGTTGGCAGCTGGAGCGCTCGTTCATTATACATTTAGTAGTGTACAACAACCGCATACAATATTTGGGCGCCTGGGAACCGCGAAACAACGCGTTGGCAATGGAAACAATAGTAGTACCCGACTTCGTGCCCTGTGCTTCACATGATGAATTATAGTCAAATCCCGAGCCAGCGGAACTGACGTCCATGAGTTTCTTTTTTGGTATCACAGCTTGCCCCGGGCAACCGTGCTGGTCCTCTACGATGTTTGTGTTGTGTTTTGAGGTGGGATGTCGTTTACACCGGGCACTATAACTTATGTAGGTTGCAACAAACGCGGAAGTTCAGTCGAACTTGTAGGAATCTCCGACGAGAGATATTATTCCGCTCGCGACCGCGTAACTCCCCTATAATCCAATTCAGGACTACCTTCATACCTTCCCTACGAGGCTTGAGCTCGTGTCTCCGTGGTGTTCTTTGCGTGGTCTTAGCTCGCCCGCTGGCGGGCCTCGGCCCGCCTCAGCGAGGGCAGGCCACACATTTGTGTGCAACGCTGAAAGAAGACCCCGCGGGCATGGCAACGCACGCACAAACCTTCCAGCGCCGCAGCACCGACGTGGAAATACGCTCTCTCTGATCAAACCATGAAATAAAAACGTTTGAGATGCAGGAAGGACTTCAGCAGCAGACAACAGCCACACGTTGATCGAGGGATGAGAACCAAAAAAAGGGGGCGACGTACCCATTGTGTACTACATAGACTACAGACTAGTCTAGTGGGATCAAAGTTGACACCAGATACCACCCCGCCGATTTCCAAAGATCGACTACAATACTCTACAAAGCAGAGGCAAAAGAGACGTTGATACAGGCGACGTTCCAACCGCCTCTTCAATATCTTTTCGAAAACATGTCGCATGACTTTGGCGTTCACTTCTTCTTGGCGCTTTGAAAATCGTTCCGGGGGTACGCAACTTGGGTACGGTACAAAAAAATGCGGCGCGAATTTCGTTGCCGAAGGTGACGGTTACAGCTGCTCTGTACATTGTATCAATGCAAGTATTTGCATATAATCCACCCGTGCGACGAAAGTTGCACCCTGCGGTAGGTGGAATCCGGCTTTCATATAGTGGCCGACGGTGGAAAGGAACGTTGGTGATGGCGGGTGTAGTTTTTGTGCTAGGGTTGGCCCTCACCACTGCGCGTGCTGTTTTGGTCGCCGACGCGGTGTCGCCTTCTTCGCGACTGGCTCGAGCTTCCCAGGCGATCACAGGACGAGGAGCCCAGTCGCCATCGCAGGCCTTGTCAGTAACCTCGCCACGACAGCAACCAGCACCCACTGGCGTGGGCAGTTCGAGAGTAAGGTTGGTGCATCATACCCTGCGAGCAGGAGTTGCAACCCAGGAGTTGGGGGGTCGACCAGAACGTGCAGTCTGCAACAACAAGGGCAAGGGGCTTTTTCACGGACGGGGAGAATCCGACCGACAACAGTCTACAGCCTCGGCCATTTGCATAACATCACAGCTGCACAGAAAGACGCACAAGTTGCCACGCGCACCGATGTTCACACCTGGATTCCTCCACCACGACCAGGATGCCAAAGAAAATTAATGCGTTTTCGTAAATCCATCGACGAGACGGTCAACGCCACCATTTCGGGCACCTTGTTTCGTGCGGCAGAGTTGCGGGCTGTGGAGAATTGGGGTATGCATGATAGCTTTGAAGAGTAACCACGGTACAGGTTCGGCGAACGACTTTTGCTAGTACTGTAGCCTACATCTAGATATGCTGCTGGCACTTACATTCGTACCGCAGCACGACAATTGTAAAGAAAGCACTCAAGTTTCAATATCGACTGTGCATGTATAGTCTACCTACTACGTAAACTTTCGGATAAAAAACTCGTCGAGAAGTTCACAGTTTGTCATCGCCGCTTCGACACACGCAATACATTCAGGTTTTAGGTTCGAGAATCATGTAGACTACGTGTGGGTATGCTCTCTCCCATACAATCTGGCACCAGAGTCTACGGTACACTGATCGGCTTGATGTATCAGCCGGGGGTCGCACAGGTGGAAGGTCACACGGGACGCCTGCTAGAAATGGTTGTATTTCAATGTCCCACCTACCTTCCTGCTGGTGCTTGCCCAACGCTGCAGCAGTATAGTTGTCATTACGAGAAGGGTTCAGCCGCCCCTTCCCCTCGTCGACCGTGAATATACGTCAGTTGAGTTAATCATTGCTGTCACTCCAAAGAGGGAGTATCGAATGCGCAACCTGCTGTCTGTACGTTTCAAGATTACCCATTGACCCAATGATGCGAGTGCAGGGTGAATTGCGTTCTTCAGTTGTGCCCCGATTTGGGTAGTTTGGTTTTCATGAAGCCCTATCATCAACCTACCACGGACTTTCCCGAAATGGCACGCGCACGAGTTGTCGCATTATTTGCACGTTTTACAAGTGGTTGGTATGCCCATGCCCATCCCTCCAGTTTCCCGTTCTGCACCTGCCGGGCGTGGACGTAGGGCCACGTTCAACGCGGTCGTGCTACACCCGAAGAAAAGCGGCATATCTACGAAGCTACATGTAATACCGTGCAGACAAGCCCAAATCACTGAAGTAGACGAGCTACTGCGTTTCTTTGTACGAGATAGTTTTACCGGGTGTCACGTGTTGTCCAGAGAACCGCGTAACAGGTGCTCCACAACACGCTTGGGTCGGTGGACGAGAAAAGCTTCTGAACGTGAACCTTGGGTTTGATCCGATATCTTTCGGCGTCTTCGCGCCTGGATGAACTATTCATATAGAGAAACATCACGCGTCAACAAAAACTCGTCAACGTACAACACACTCTGACGAACCCCTGGCTATAGGCCCCTGTGACCATGTGAATTAGAGTCTGTTGTCGTGCACCCCATCGGTTCATCTTTCGCAATCTGCCAACGAAATGACCGAACTCACCCTCTCCCAGGTGCGAACAGTCCCTTCACGTAGGCTTGTTCATCCAACTCCAACATATTCGAAGGTTCGCTCTCGTGCTCTAGTGAAGTGTCGTTGACGATGGGGCTCTTCCGTTGTCTTCGACATTGGCTATTCATCTTCGAAGAGCTGAAGAAGGGTTCGTTGATTTTGGGTGTGATTGCGGTTTCTCGACGACAAAGTCTCGGCGAATCCGTTAGTGCAGGCCTAGAGACCGTGAGGTGGAATATTTCGTTGGTGATAATGACGAGCAAACGCCGGTAAATACACTGTCAACCATACCATTTTCCGGGAGGCCATGTTCAACCGGGAGGAGCAATGAACTTCATGATCATGTTGTTCAAGGAAATGGAGAGAACGGCTGTTCTCATAACCATTTTAATATCATGAGAGATACTCGACAGATGTATGCGTATGCATGCATCCATTTCGTATGCCTCGGAATTTTACAAGACTCGAGTTTGCTTTTCCCGCAAAATGCTGTTCTACAGTTGATTGTGAGCCTATTCCTGGCGACCACAAGCGCGAGCCATCTACATTTATGGTTTGGGGTTTGCGTTCAAACCATAAATAAGTAATACGAGGATGACATTACGCAAAACGTTGAGGCACAGGCGGTACATGACTCTTTCTACCATAAGCGGTGTTCCTCGAAGGGACACACGACCAATGACCGGGCATCCATGAACAGTCGTGAACGTTCCCGCAGATGTCATACGCAAGTGTATCAATTCTCCAGCGGGATGCAGGTGACCTGCCATAGTCAATAACGGTATACCTAAAGGTCAAGAGGAATGTTCCCTACCGTCCAAGGACGAAAATACCTTCGTTGCCCTTATTCTCAGTTTCGAATTGAATATTTTAGAAGCTATGTCAATTATCTTTCACGCCATCATGGCCAATAAATGCTTTAGTTCCTAATTGGTTTGTATGTCGGGCGGTGACTGGACGCGCCTCCTTTTTGGTGTGGTAATGTATCACGCACACACGTTGAACCCGTCCTAGCTCGGAGCGATTCACTCCATGCCCCCGACTGATCTCCTTTTCTCCATTGTTGCGCCGTCCGAATGAAAATACGCGGTACCGGCGGCAGGACGCTCCACCGGAGGCTTCTGGCCATGCACGTTATTGCGTCCGTCAATATGAGCGCAGGGGCAGCGAAGTACATGCTTCCCCTTTCGGATACTTCGTGCCGGGTGTCTCATCGAGCATGGATCGCTTCACTCCTGTTCTACGACGTAAGCGCACCACAGGCGGTAGATGGTGGTTTAAGCGGGTTTGATTAGTAGATCGCTTCACGGTTCATGAAGCCATGGATTGCGTCGATGATTGGGGTGTTGGCAGTCAGGAATATCCGCTTTCCTTCTTGTATATGAGCGTATCGAGCCGACATTTTGGCGTTTCCATGGAACATATCCAAGTTTAGCATCCGGACTGGGCATGGGCGAGGCGCAAACCTAACGCTTGTATGTTGGAAATGCTCGTGCCTACGACCAGGCGTGCCTGGTGCTGTTTCTCCTTGCAAAGACAGGCGTTACGAACGGCAACAGAACTCTCACCTGTTGGGAAAAAGGAATTACCTGGTGGTCTCGCTTCTGGGCCTGGATATACCTGTGAGCAGAATGTCAAAATGATGAGTGATTTCCGGAACTCTCCCTCACAATGGGGCACATCATTGGGTTGCCGGCTTCTCCGTTTGATACCATACAATATCTCTAGGACTAGCGGTCGTCTGGAACGCGATAGACAGGTGGTTTTCCCAATACCCAATGACAAAGCAGGCCTGCATACATCTCAGTATTGATCTGGTCTCACCAGAACGTGCCGTATCCTCGTCGTATTTGGTTCTGTGGTTGTTGTTCTGCTTGTTGCTTGAACAAACGGCAGGTGGCACTCCCCGCTGTTTCACACAAATTCCGTCCCAGGACCGACAATTGTGTTCATCGTGCATGCCATCGCACAAGTCGGAGTGCATCAGACCTCTCGAGAAATCGCGCGTTGTTTTCGTACTTTCTCCGAACCTCCGTTGTGTTCCTGGTCTCTTTCACAGGCCGGTGTCAGCAACGTTCTTGGGCCTTACCTTTCCTGGCGAGGTAAATTCGGAGGTAAGAGCAACCGGTGTATTGAATATTAATAGTTTTCCCTTCAAATCATATCCCCGTTCGCGCTCAAGCGCAACCACTTTGCTCGAACTCGCTCTCGAGGCATCGCCCTACCCGAAGATACGACGAAACCCACCACCTTCCCGCTCTGATTCGGTCAGGGGACGGCGTGTTTCAATAGCTACAGGGAGGAGACGGACACTGCGGAGGTCGGGGATGTGGCTGGATTCGCTAGCAACAATGTCTTGTTAACTGTCCAGGTGAGTTAAACGCACACGTTGAGTGTCGGGCCGTTTCGATGTAACGCAACAATCAAGGAAACCCGAAACCTCACAGCTACAGTCCTTTGGAGTGGGCAAGAAAGAGACGATGGGTTCGCAAGATGTGTACGGGTTGGCAGGCGCATCGTTCTCATGTTCAACGCTTTTTCTTACCACCTGTGCCGCCAGCATTGGCGGTACACGCTACATCACGGGGAGACAAAGCGCGGCACTGAAGTTGTATGCTCGCACGACAGCACCTGGACCATGTTCCTGGTGCTCGGCACCCTTACTCACTTCCCCCTTTCATACCTTCGGCCCTACTGTGTCATCACAAATGCCCTGCCAGTACGTGCTGCTGCTGGCGATGTTCATAAAGCCAATGCTTGTTTCGCAAGGCAACACTCAATCCGGCGGGGCGGTGTACCGCCGGGTGGTGATCCGGAATATAGTGTGCACTATCGGCATCGCCTGTGCGTACGTGATCACGACGGTCGTGGTGGTCCTCGCGTTACTCAGCAGTTCGTCTGATACCAACAAGGTGCGGGATTCTTCTCGGTGTTGTCTACACACAGACCAAACCTGCTCCGTACGAGTTTGATAGACTGGGGGACCGAAGCGCGCAGAGACTGTTTCGGTCATACTAATATCACCTGCGTCGCCCACATTGTACATATTTGTCCGATGCGCAATCCCCCTCACATCTCCTTCTCACCAAACCACGTCCGCAGAGCGGCGTCGTTCTCAGATGTGTGGCCTACTCATCGCGGGTCCATTACTCTACCGTGCCCCCTTGATATCGCAGGCGGCTGTCGTTGGAGAGATCATACCATCGATCAACATTTGCGTGACCCTGTGCCTGACCGAGGTGGGTGACGACAACGAGTTAGTCATTTTTCCTTGCATAAGCTGCATTATCTGCGATACCGGTGTCGCCGGTTCTAGTCTACGATATAGCCCCGATTCCACCCAGATAGGCCGAGAAACACCACCGCTGTGCCTGCAAAGCCCACAGCTGCCGCAGCAAAAACGCTTAGGCCCGAACTGACCTGGTTGTGGAGGTGCGTGTGCCAAATGCGACCTTATCAGCCTTTAAGCCAGCGGGGTAGGCAAGCAGTTTTACGACAACCCCTCGAAAAGCGCCATTAATAGCCACACTCAAGAGGCAGCCACAATATCACCACAGCTTTGTGCGAACATGACAGAATGATCGAAACGTCCTTGTGCACCCTCCACTTCGCTCGTTGTGCTCGAGAGTAAAAGACACACAATCACCGTTGTTTTCTTCGAACATGACAGACATGAATAAAAAGTCCTTGTGCACATCCCCCTTCACTCTAAGTGCCCAAGAGGAAGAAACTCCAATCACAGTTGTTTCGTTCGAGCATGGCATCCGTTGTTCAAAGGGCTAATGTGCAGTTTTAAATATCTTGGTAGCTGTGTAGATCTGGCCCCTAGCAAGACCACGGCAGCCGTTGTCTGATCATCGTTGTTCATGACGAAGTTACTACAGCACCCCGCTATCATTCGCCCAAGAAGAGAGAAAACAATGCCACTGCCTGCTGTGGTCGCACGTATTAGCTTGCGAATGAAGTCGAAACACTAGTTTTTCTACCCGCGTTACGGATGAGTAAACTTCAACATCATCCCATGGCCGTTTGTGGGGCGGTGTGCATTGCCCACAACCACCGTACCGTACGGTCCAAGGGATGCAGAGCGCCCGAAAAAATAAACCCGGGGCCACAGTGGTTGTTGAGTTGATACGTGACTGGCACAAAAATTTCCTGAAACAAGCCGGAACCTGTTGATAAATCCGGTGTGGCCAGGCTAGGAGTTGGGAAGACCCGCTAATGTGATTTGCTAAACGTGTTCACCAGTAGTTCCTGGCGGCACTGTGGTCGTAATTATTTCGGTTCGTGACATCACCGCCGATACAGGTGGTATCACGGTGTTAGCATTCCTTACGAATTCATAGAAGGACTACTTCTGTCTCGGGGATGGAGGTGTGTGGTGTGAGGCTTGAAGCTGACGAAAACCGCGTGCCTAGATGATCTTTGGCACGGGCTTGTCAAGTGTGTGGTAAGAGAAAGATTCAAACCTCTGTCTGCAGCTCGTGCGTATGACAAGAGATAGCCCGATGAAGTGGCGTCCGATGTACGAAAGTAAGCAAAGTTCTTGATGCGATCTTACAGTCGGTCACAAGCGCAACTCAGAGCACAGCCTATCCGCACGTCGTGTGTTGCGACACGGCTTACACTGCTCGTGGCACTCAAACTCCGTGAGAGAGTTGTACCGGCGGGCTCTTGCACGAGGACGAAGAATTCCCAGGTGGAAAATAATTCTGAAGAAATTTAGTTTTATGGTCTGAGTGTACCGGCGTTTTCGGAGAGCTGCCCCTTGACATCAGTCAGTAAGACGATAGGGAATTTTTCGGCGGCACAAATATTGCTAGGGCGTCGAGAAAGACTGCGGATTATGTCAACATCTCTCTCCCTTGTCGACAGGGTACTGCATGAAAAGACGGCTGGCGAAGCGACCAACATACATACCTCTGTCCATCCTAGGCGATGGAGAACCCTACTGTAGTACTCTAGACTATATCGCGAAGAGTTTAAATCTTTTCGTTTTCCCCTAGAATTCAATTCAGTTCGGTGGCCCGGATCAACTCATCCAAGGTTGCTGGGCAATGACGAATCCCCGGCGCCCTCCCTCCTCGCTCTCGGATATTCACAAGTTGAAAGTTTGAGACAACGCAAGGGCAGGCGAGAAGCTGTTGATATCGTTGCATTTTGAAGTCAGGCGGCACTGTTCACGCCGTGAGTGATCTCAAGTACGGGCCTGCACGAGATTCGACCATCACGTGCCCGGAACCATTGGCGTAGAGTTCCAGGGGCCTTTCGAGTCCACTTTGTAGCCTTTCGCGTTCGTCAGGATTGCGGCTTTCAGGTTCCTCCACACATGAGGAGTGATAGTCTTCGGACGAAGAGCAAATGTACTCGTCGTCCGTTTCACATCATTGCCGATCCAACAGGCCACCCATCTCACCCTGTTGCGCACACCTGTCCGTGGTGTTGATACTTTCCCTGCCATTCGCAGATTGCCTTGCCTCTCGGATTCACCAGCTGCATGAAGTCCATCAACACAGGCAGGCACGCAGGGCAGCCGTTGAGGAAGGCAGAAGCGGTGATAATGTCGGCCAGGCAGTCGGGGAAATATGGTGCTAGCATGCGTGCCGGTACAACGCAGGTCCTAGGACAAACCCCAGTTGTTCCTGTGGAGGAAGATCCTGGTGCTGGCCCTATCCATGCGCAAACCGAGGCGGCTTGACTGGTGGACTCGCTTCAATGCTATCAGTCGGAAGAGGCACCGGTCCCATTTTCCGGAACGAACTCGGGGAGGATTCCGAAACCATCCATCGGCCCTCACCTCGTACCCCGTTGACTTTTCGTTCGTTGCACCCCTCCTGCACTTTCGCTTCAACGTATCGAGTTTCCAAGTCTATGCAGGACGTCGGATATTGTTCCAGAGCATCTCGGGTAAAACGAATGTAGCAGTCAAGAACATTTCCGGTATTCTACCAAATCAACCAAAGAATTCCCGACCGTCAGTCAAACTCCTATAAAGCCGGTCAACTATTCGCTGAAGCACTGAAGCAGCAGTTATGCCGAGTGTGTGGACCTTCATATTTTCGTAGTTCATTTTTAGTGCGCGTTCGAATACACTGTTTATCGTGCGTGGCATCTAATAGTCTGGTCGTGCACTTGTGCAACGTATCACATAGCAGCAGCTTGCCGAGATTGTCGAACCTTTGGGTATAGACTGTTGCACACGTCATTGAATGTAACTCATGCCCTCCTGACGTGCAGCACGGTAATGTGCTGTGCAACACACGCGTAAAATACGTGGGGTACGCATACATAGCATGTTGAGAGACGTTTCTAGGCTTTCCGGAAGATACATTACCCGATCCTGTTGCACGCACCGACTAGCGATTGAATGTTTGGTGGCTTGTGGTTTCGTTTTTTCGGCAAAACTCTTAGAGATTTGAATCATCATGTTGCTTGGCCGTTTCGCATCAATCGATGGCTTCGTCCGTTGTCCCCGTTTCTGGTGCTAGGCTTTTGCTGCCTCCTGTTGCAGCGAAATACGACTTCGTTTCGTATTACGACACCGTTCGTGTTGTTTGTTCCAAGTTTCTTCGTCTGTCGTTCCCACGAGTGGTTTCTTTTAACCGCGTTACTAGCTTGCGACCTTCTTACACGTGTTGCAGGTTGTGGTACGGTTCGTTCCTGATGGATTTGATGTTGACTGCCGTGTACAGCAGTGGAAGTCCTTTCACACGAAATCGTGTTTGAAACAAATACAGTCATTTTTCCCATCTAGCATAGAGGGGTGCAAGGGTGGATTGCTAAGTTGCAATTTGGTCAGCCGTCTGAAGAGGCCTCATGTGTAAGTCTCTAAGGCTTGACTTCGTATATACAATTGTAGTTTGGACGGGTTGTGATTTAGCGGCATATTGAGCGCCTGAGGTAGATTGAGACTATTATTTTCCATACAAAATTGTACACATAGCAGAGATCAGATCCCTACAGACCGAGCTAGCTCTTCCGACGGTGTGTCCTTTGTGATCGGTTAGGACATAGGTGATATCTTGTTTTGCCCGGGTTGATCTCGAAGACTAGATGGGCTGCGTATGTTTGCTCCATGGTGATCTGAAGGACACAGGTACTCGATCTGAAAGACATGGTGATCGGTTATGTTTCCCCGAGGTGATATAAAAGACATTAATGATCGGTTTGTTTTCCCGAGGTGGTCTATCTGAAGCACAAACAACTTCAAACCTCGATGAAGGACGCAAACTTTTTCCGTGAAGCACGGATGTATCGAAGAATCGCATACCCTGCGTGGCAAAGGGGAGATTGCAAGGAGTACTAGATTCTCGACTACATCCTGGTAGGCAGGGGGAGCACACAGGTCCCAAGTTGCATGTCAGTCCGATAGATGTAGGCTCTTCCGACCACATCGACCGATCGAGGAAGAAGGTGGAGAGTAAGAAGCAGAGCAAGTTGTTCCGTTGGAATGTAGAGCGTTCGGGAGACGAGCAGACGTGTGGTGAAGAAGGGGCCGACTGGTAGTGTAGAACGATTCAGGAAATAGCTGAGAAGCGTTGAAGACGGAAAAGTAGACCTACAAGCAGCAGGGTGGGATACTCGCCCTTTGTGCGTACTGAAGAAGGTGTTGATGGTGGCGCGTTTGTTGTCAATCGCGAAATTCAGCCGTCGTTTGCCGTTATCGTGCAGCCCATCACGTCCACAAGGGCCAAGGACCCCCTCCTCCGCTAGATGATCTCCCTTGCCTTCTCTTCCGCGTTCGTGCGTTAGCCATCATCACATACGCATGAAGCTATCGAGCTCATCCCAGAGCTTCTGCTGTTCTCCATCGTCTGTGACCTCTGTCGGGGCGTAGGCAGTTTGGAAGTTCACCGCTCCGCTCTTCTCGCTCGGTCTCTCAAACCGTATGGCCGCGAGGCGGTCGCTGGAACATTACCGTACCACTGGTATCCGCACTCCGTTTGTCACACCTGACTTCTCACATGACATGCTCCCATAACCGAAGACCCTGCACCCTGCTGCTGCATACTCCATTTGCCCAGGACTTCTCGCCTCCTGCATTCCCGCCACAGCGATGATACTTCGTTGTGCCAATTTGTAGAGCAGCTGTACGCGCGGCCATGTCGGGAAACTCGTGGATTCTGGGGGAAATATGTTGTTCCAGAGAGACGTTACCCGTTGGCTTC